TGCTTCGAAGGGAGTCGGCGGGATCCGTCCCACGTCACGAAGGCGGTCTCCGCCGTTCTAGCGCGACCGCCCCGAGAGGAGAACGCGAAAGACTCCGAGAGCGCGAGACGCGAGCCCGCCGCAAGATGCGAAGAGCCCGAGAGGCCCTGAAAGTCTCACAAAGTCCCGGTCGCGGAAGGAGAAAAGAACGCCCGAACGGCCCGGTTGCACTTGACGGGGGGATCCAGCGGGAAGAGGCTCTCCTGCTGTTTCGTTGGGGTCCACCTCTCGGGCGCGACCGTGTCGGCCCGCGAAGGTCCTTTCCCCTTCTGGGGCGGGGTGTTGAGTGTTGAAGGAGGACGGTGCCGCCCCGGCCGCAGCCCCAGCACCACCAGTATGGTTGCGGGAGGAGAACCACCACCAGCCCCGTCAGCAGCGCGGCCAGCAGAGGCACGAGCGCGACCACCACGGCGGCCGTTCGTCATTTCTCGGGAAAAAAAGAGCAGTTTCCACACCACAGCTCCACAGCAGTTGCGCACGTGGAAAGAGCTGGGGGGCGGCACATGCCTCCCACAGCAGGCGGTTGGGCGTGTGCCTCGGACAGCTGTTGTTGCTCTACAAAATGGACCATTGAATTTGTTTCTGTGTTCATTGCTTTGCTTCGAAGGGAGTCGGCGGGATCCGTCCCGCGTCACGAAGGCGGTCTCCGCCGTTCTAGCGCGACCGCCCCGAGAGGAGAACGCGAAAGACTCCGAGAGCGCGAGACGCGAGCCCGCCGCAAGATGCGAAGAGCCCGAGAGGCCCTGAAAGTCTCACAAAGTCCCGGTCGCGGAAGGAGAAAAGAACGCCCGAACGGCCCGCGCCGCTAACGACCAGCCGACACAAATGTATAGATGATGTTCTTATATGCATGTGGATCGCTCTTTCTTGTTACATGATGGATGTGTAAAGTTTTATTGCATTTGTGCCGCCTCGTCGTAACCTCGAGTTCTTGTTTCCTCTGTGCGGTCATCGCAGCTACTATGTGGTTGTATGTACTCACCACAAGGATACCGTTGAGCTGCTAACGCTGCTGCTGTCGGTACGTACCGAAAGATACAAGTTTCCGTGCCTCCCGGATCGGAGAAACTACGGGGACTTGCTGCGTAGGCAAGGGAGGCAATAGGCGCTACACTGCTGTAGGTAGATCGAAACACGATCGATCCAGCAAAGGGGACAAGCCACACAAAATACAAGTGAAACACAACTCAAGGTGTACATGAAGTAGGTGTCATATCTCTACCTTGTTCATTTCTTTGGATCGTAAGATTATGGCTACAGTCTGCAGCCGCAGCAGCGGTTGGCCACCCCCCTCCCGTACATTGGAAACCAAAGTTTCCCATCTAATTCACACCCTCCCCCCTCAAACTAGACGTAGACTACAATCCCCCCCGAGCACACAATCAATCGATCCCATTGGACAACCTGCAAGTCAGGAGGAAGAAACTAGGCAGGCATGGTCAGATACGACGCTCACATACTTTTTTCTGGTTTAATGTCTTCACGGTGACATCCCCTCCCATACACTATCGGGGCGTCACCGCAGCAAGGAACTTCAGCGCGACATCTCCTGGACGCAAGAATACCTGCAGAGGGTCACTACGCTTATGGCACCCCTGCAAATACCTCGTTATGAAGATTTACGCGAAAAAAAAAGAGACAAACGCGAGAGGCAAAACAACCGTGGACGAAATCAAAGTATGACCGGCCGTTCGCCATCCCCACGCTGAAATGGTTGGCAGAGCGCGGAGGGGGCGGGAGGCCGGTGACGCCAGAAACGCCACGTCGAAGCCTTCTTTGTACACGCACACGCACTGGTGTTTGACTATCTCAAACGACACAACATGAAAAAAAAGAGTGCACTCGTTCTTCTCCTCGCGGAACAGCAGTTTGCGTCAGGACCATACGCCGCGCTGCACAACAAGTGCCAAACAACTACACACAACAATGGAGAACAACACCAAAGCATCATACAAGCCTCCATTCTAAACGAAACACAACAACAACGTACACACTCGCAGTCAGTGTAGAATTATTCCCCGCTCAAACGGGGGACCTACAGTACACCGCCCGACACCCCCCCACGCCACCAGCACCAGCTCAGCAACGAGATTGAATAGCGCTTGAGTTTGGCCAATGTCCGCGAGCACGGCGCTAGCGGTGGTGGGCGCGTCGGGATGTAGCCGCGACCCCAAGAGGTCTATCTCTGCGTGACAACCGGCTCCCTCGGAAACTCGTAACAAAACCGTCAGATCGGGCCTCTTTATTTTTACCCCCGCAGAATGGAAAAGCAAAGAAAAAACGAAAGAAGCGAAATTGCGACGAAGATGACCACCCGCTACACCATAAACTGGTACACGGCCCGCTCCGTTGCCGATCCTGCATTACACACGAGTCGTTCTCGCTGGGGGGCAGTGCGCCACCTTTTGTAGGCATCATACCGCACACGACCCTCGCTGGTACCAGCAACTCAAGAGCCTACGGCTGGTGCATCAAACGGTCGAGGAAAGCGCAACACAGACGCCTCCAAAGCAAGGCACCTCACATCGCTCGGAAACATACACGGCTAATGATCCTCCGAGACACTCGCCTCTTCCACCAATGGGCTCGAACGAACGAACCATTGGCTTCAAGTAACAACTTACCGGAGCGCATGCTGGAGCAACAACACGCAAGGGCCATTGCTACTCATCTCGCGAACAATCAATAGGGCACTCACTGCCCCGTCACCCACGACAAGCATCAGACGGACACACACTGCCCCCGTCACCCACGACAAGCATCAGACGGACACACACAAATCGACGAATCGGCGACAAACACGCTCACGATGACTTGAGGGGAAACGTATGTACCACACCGCACCAGAACAAAGCCTTGCCTGCCTCAACGTCATCAGGTGTACATACATGCCGCGGGCCAAATGTTCGATCCTCCCTCCCTCTAACTGATCAAAGAGCAAATCTGACAAACCACAAAAACACAAGAAAACGAGAAGAAAGAACCACATACAAGAAAAAATATGGAAAGTTTTCTCATAAATTAGCGATAACTAGGGGCCGTCGTCCAACCCTATCCACCATGCCGCTAGCGCAGACGCTTGACGAGTCCTGCTACCACAGCAGCAGACAGCCAAAGGCGTCGCCATAGAAAGTAGTTTTACCAGGGACATTGCCATCACGAGCGACCAATCCTTACACGGACGTATCGGTAATTGTCTCGTCCACGAACAAGCGCCGCCCGTTCAAAAGCGGGTTGGCGGCATGATCGAGACCTGCAACAACAATCCCCTTCCCGCCTGGCACCAACAGACCAGAGCTAACAAACACATCCATCCGCTTCTCCGGCCCCAAACCGCCACCAACACCGCCGCCAGCCAGTCATAACAAATCTCCGCCTTCTCAAGCCCAAAACCGCCGCCGCCGCCGCCGCCGCCGCCAGCCAATCACAAAACATATCCGCCCAAAACCGCCGCAGCCGTAAGCCAATCATCATCGCGCACGAACGCACGCCCCAAAAAACCAGCAGCCCACCTGCCTCTTCTTCGTCGCCATTCCCCCTTCATGCCCCGACCAGGTCGTCGTAAGACGGCGGCGGCGGCGGGTTCTTCTTGAGCTTGTACGCCACCGCTCCCAGAATCGCCAGGAGCGCCACGCCGCCCGCCACGCCCGCCGCGATCACCACGGTGTCGCTGCCCCCCCCGCCATCTCCGTCGCCGTCTTCTCCTCCCGCGACGACCGGCGCCACCGTTCCCGGCGCGTGTGTGCCCTCAACGGGCATGCGCGTCGCAGTACCATCGTCGTTGCCTCCATCGGTGCTGGTGGCGGTGGGGGTGGGCGCGGGGCTGGTTGCCGGCGTCAGTGTTGGAGTTGTCGCAGGCGCGCACGTGACCACGACATCTCCGTCGTAGGGCACGACGGTGTCGTCGGACCTGGCGATTGCCAAGCGTCGTGGCG